GGGGGGGGGAGGGGCAGGGGAGGGGGAAAGAGGAGGACAGCTCAGAGGTGGCCCTGGCCATCTCCTTTTATCAAGGTGTTGTTAAAACTTTCCCAGGAGGTCTCCTCCTACACTTGCCTCTTATATCCCACTGACCCAAACAGAAGTGTGAGTCTAGAGCATCCGCCAGTAAAGAAGAATGAGATGATCATGTTTTGTTTTAACCAGTTCATCACTTGGACCTGGGTAGACTTCCCTAAGCCTTTAGGCTCTGCCCATAACTGGAGCAAATCTGTGTTCTCTTGTTGTTGTTGTTAAGAAGTCAGTTCCAACTCATAGCAACCCTGTATAAGGTTTCTAAGGAGCAGCTGGTGAGTTTGAACCATCAACCTTGTGGTTAACATACCAGTGCTGATCCTATAGTGCCATATATTATGGCTGTAGTGAAAGTGATCAACAGAGCAGGTCACACAAACATAGGGCATGATTCCATGCTGACACATCTACATTCAAAATTCAACAATTGTATATGTGGTACAATACCTCTGCTTTAGAGGCCTCTCTGGTTCCAGATCCTCTATGCACCTCCATCTGGCTTTATTAGGACTAATAGGATGACTGCCAAAATAGGTTTGCTGCTAAATTGCTGTTAGTTGCTATTGAATAAATTCGAACTCATGGTGACCCCCATGTGGGGCACAGCAGAACTGCTCCATAGAGTTTTCAAGGCACTGAGTGATATTTTAGAGGCAGATCCCCAGGCTTGACTTCCAAGGTGCCTCTGGGAACTTGACTGTTTATGGCCCTAGAAGCCTTTGCTCTTAAGTGGTGGTGGTAGTGTTGATGGTGGTTGCCCTATAAGCCAATTTCAACTCACAGTGATACTATGTGCGCAGTTTACAACTACTCCACAGGGTTTCCAAGGTTGTGACCTTTTGAAAACAGACCTCTGGGTGGATTCCAAACACACTATTTCTTAGCCTTTGGGCTACTAAGAGACTTGGTCTTTTTCTGGGTTTACAGAAACCCTTGTTTCCATAACAAAATCCTATATGTAAGTGTCACTACTGGGTCCTTGAAGTTGGAAAAAGTGTCCTATGACAGAGGTAGGAATGCTCTGAATTTTCCCAAAAAGAATGGCTCATTTTGAAACTGCAAGCAAATGAAGGAACCAGAAACTTTAGAAGTCAATGGAGCCTCTAGCTTTGGCTTTGAGGAGGTTCTACAATATCAGTCCCTTTCTTATTTCTGGCTTAAAGATGCCTATTTTACACCTAGTTAGTTAGAGGTTCTCTGATTCTTGGGAAACAGTTTCTTGGAAGGTGAAGACGATAAAGAAAGAAGTAGGAAACGAAGAGGTGATTGCTGGGTACCTATAAAATCCCCTAGAAGACTGGTCCTTCAAACCTTCAGATGGGATTCCGGATGCGGCCGCCACGCCTCCCGCGGTCCCTGCCCCCAGGCTCAGGCCCCACCACGCAGCTCACACCCACCACGGGCAGGGAGGCTGCTCCAGTGAGTTCATATTTCTCAAAGCCAGCTCTCTTCCCGAGGTTGTCCGCGCGAGGAAGACCCATTGGATAAAGAAAACGGGGTGGCCAAGGAGAGGACCCTGGAGAGGTGTCCAGGCCAGCAAACTGCTCTCCCTCCTTCAACACACAAGCGACCCTTCCCCAGCTGAAGCACACAATAGGCGGTCGCTCCACGTTGTTTCCCAGCCCCTCACCGCTTGGGCTCCGGGCGGGTGGAGGGTGATGGCAGGGGGTGGGCGGTGGATGAGAGAGTTCTCCAGCCCTCCTGCAGACTCTTCAGTCTCTGGGAACTGGAGAGGAGCATTGAGCTAGAGCCCGCCCCACTCTTGGGGACATTTCATTACCACCACTTTCACCCCCGCCTCCCCAAAAAATTTTAAAAAGAAAAAGCAATAGACAGATCTCCCTCCCGGATGAGGCTGCACCAGTAACATCAGCTGCAGGCGGAGCCCTAGCGGTTGCCACACTTCCCCTCCTCCCTCGTGACCCTCGCCCCCCCCACCCATCCTCCCTCCCCTTCAACACACCCTTCCAACCGGACACACCCTCCTGCTCCAGCTAGTAGCGCTCGGAGCTCAGCCCTTGAAGGGAGGGAGGCTCCACCGCTGCCGCCGCCACTGAGGGGCAGGAGAGCGAGCCAGCGAGGGAGCGCAGCGATAAAAGGAGTGAAGGCGGGAGGAGGGCAGAGCAGCCTTGGGCGGGAGGAGGAGCGGGGACGCCGAGTGCGATGTGGCCCGCTGGCCGGCGAGTAAACAGAGGGAGCTGCGGTGGCCGCCGGGGCCCGGGGCAGTGAGTGCGCCAGCTGAGACCTGCCCGCCGCTGCCATGGCTGAAGTGCGCAAATTCACTAAGCGGCTCAGCAAGCCCGGCACAGCGGCCGAGCTTCGGCAGAGCGTGTCGGAGGCCGTGCGGAGCTCTGTGGTGCTGGTGAGTAACTGGGGGCTGGGGAGTTCCAAAGGGACAGCGTTCCTGGCCAAAGCCATGGGGGTCGCTGGCCGCGCGGGGGGAGGGGGGGGGACGCGAGGCGCTGCGTGCGCTCTTTCTCCGCTCCAGTAAGTTTGCGCACAGCCGGCCGCTTGTGGGGGTCCAGTCCCCGGAGGCCGATGACAGCTCTTGGACCGCGGGGCATGGCGGAGGCGCGAGCGGGACTGGGCGCGGGCGACAGCGGGGGCGGGGGAGGAGGATCGGAGCCGGGGGCCGGGACGCGGATGTTAAGTGACAGAGCGGACCTCGCGCTGCCCTGGACCGGGCACAAAGCTGGAGACGTGGGCACGCACGAGATCCGGAGTCCCTCCTCAAAGGCACCTGAGGCAGCCTGAGCGGAAAGATGCGATGAGCGTTTTGGCACAGACATATATGCGCACGCACAGACACACCGTGTACACACAAAAAAGAACCCCACCCAAAAAGCCCCGGGCGCCCCAGCTCTGGCGGGCGGTGAGAACAGAGGAAGCTGAGCGACTTCCTCCTGCTACTGGGGAGAGAAAGGGAGAGAAAGGGTGCTGCTGTGAAGAGAGGGAATAGAAACAACGGCTTCTGGGGGCTAGTGGGGCGCGGGGCCGACCGCCTCAGTGTGAGGGTGTCACTTGGGATCCTGGAGCTCTCCAGCGCGAGGAGATGGGGCTTGGAAAGGGATGGGTGCAAGTGCAGAGATGGCAGGGTTTGGGGTCAGAGCCCTATTGCACAGGGCTGGGGGTACCTCTGAAGCCAGCAGGGCTGGGGGATGGGAATTGGAAAGCACACTGACCCCCAGGGAGCCCTTCCATCACCACCCCCACTAGCTTCTTTTAGATTGTCTGGATGAAGACAAGAGGGAAGCGGATGGGTGCTAACAGGCACCTGCCCCTTTCTCCTTGATTTCAAGCCCCTCTGCCAATTTCCCGGACTAGAGAACAAACTGTAAACAAGCAATCGAGCTGATTAATTAGCGTTTGTTTTATTACTTTTTTTTTCTTTTTTGTGTCTCTTCCCCACTACCTCCCTCTTCCATCATGCTGTTTGCCTTGTTTAAATTTCACCATTTGAGAGAGAATCTTTTTGTTAAAACAACTTGTCACTGAAAGGAAACTTCACAGCTTTTCCTTGTAATTTTTCTGTTGATCTTGTAGAATTGGCAATAAAACCAACATTAAAGGGAGGTCAAGGGCCTGCTCCCAACAGTGGGGAAAGTTGACATTAGTGGGAGTTCTGGAAGAAGATCAAACGTAAAATATGTACCTTTGAGATAAAGATCTGATCATTAATAGCAACAACTGTGCAAAACCAACGGACTTTAAAGCCATCTCTCTATCCAGACCAGACCCTTAAAAGTTTAATCCTGCTGATTAGGGGAGTGAAGCCCAGGCCTTTTATGTTATTTTAATGGATGTGTCTTATTGTGTGTTTTTCACTGTGATTTTGGAGTGGGGTCCTGCTGAGGTCACATTGGAACCTCACTTGTCATCACAGCCAGTAAAGAGAGGAAGGCATGCTGTGTTATTATTTTTTCTTGGGGGTGGGGGTGTTGGCATTTCTACCAGGACTCTCATCTTGGGTGATTGTTAGCAAGTGATTCATTCTGCCTAGCACAGGAAACATGTTTCCAAAATTCAAGAAAAAAAAATTTCCTGAGCAGAGGTGGCAGGCCTTCTGCCACATCATGTGTGTGTGTGGGGGGGATCCTTGAGAGGTGGACAGATGGTCTCATGAGAATAAATGGGATCTGGCCAACCTCCACTGAGATTTGACCAGCATTTGACCCACTACCTTCAGCAGCAAAAAGTGAACATTAGGATCTTTGTTCAGGTTTTTAGGTTTTAAAAAGAATTGTGTGCCACACAGGTGCAACTGCTTCGTCCTCACTGTTGCCTACAGGTGGTAAAGCTGGAAAAATTGTTCCTGTCAGAGGACTCTTATAGCAGATGCTGCCAACGGCCACTATGGTCTTGTCAATTTAGTCTACTTGGGGTCAAACTACTGATATTTAGTATTTACACCACGCAATGCAGATATTTATTTCTTAGTCTGGGAGGTAATCCGCACTGAAATGCTGGGAACTGGGAGAAACATTCTACTACTTGAAAGCAGTCAAGATCTCTTGGGCCCCTTTTATGTGTAAGACTTAATGGTACATGCCATATCATTATAAATCAATGTGCATGACATTTTCTTTGTTACTTTTCATTAGTTCTGACCTGGATTGTGCGTGTATGTCTGTTCATGTGTGTGTATCAATAGGACAACCACACAATGCACACAAATCCATTTTAGATTATTCATAGCACCTTTGTGAATGCTATTTTTAAGCAGTTGAATCAACAAGAAATAATAAAACTCTTAAATGGAATATCTCTGCTCTTAAATGATGCTCTTTCTTAACCCCCTCCTTCACTGACACAAAGAGCAGTTCTACAAAGTTAGCAAAGCCTGGGTGTCTGCAGAGAGCGAGGAAACCATGTCACAGCTGCTGTCATAACTTCTGACTCTGTTCTGACTTAAGCCCCACAGTGTTTACTAGAGACAGCTGAAGCAGAATTTACACTTACTGCTATCAACCTGAGATACATCACATTAGGGCTTCAATATGAGATGGTTTCATGCCTGCAGCAGGTCAAGTTGTCCTCTGGGGTATCTCTCCCCAGAACTTGGAAAACCCACTAAGCTGAGCAAATAAATACACAGTAGTTCCTGTTTAGGATTTCTTTTTTCTTCTTTTATTACAATCATGTTGACATGTTGCTAACATCATTCAGTTTTTGCACAGTGTTGGAAAAAAATCAGAAGGCCTGGGCTATTTATAGCATGTATTTCATTGAGTCTTTAGTTCTTCCATGAATCTACTCACTACATAATGAAGCAGACAGAGACTGTTTCATTGCTGCGTTTTCCTGTAAGCTCAGCATTTTTTTTTTTTTTTAGGAAGGTCAGTTTTAACCCATAGAAAGGAGTAATTATCAGAATGAATCACCACTGGCAAATATTTTTCGAGACAGGGTTGGAGAGGAATCCATGTATCATAACTTGAAAATGTATGTGATTAATGGATACAGATACCTGCTTAAGATGCAGAGTTTTAACACTTTTTTGGTTATAATTCAGGATATAGCTTTTTTGCCCTTCAGGAGGAATAAAAGCGTTTTAATAAGCCTGCTATATTATGGCAGTCAGACTGGGCAAGTCGCCGTTTGTTATGTTGTGTGTTGTGGATTCTGACTCATAACGACCCTATAGGACACAGTAGGGTTTGCAAGGCTGTAAATTTTTGTAGGAGCAGGGAGCCATTGGGAAGATTTGAACCCTATGAGTATTGTTTGGCAGCTGAGCTAGGGTTCCTGGAATGTTGCCTAAACTCACTGTCATTGAAATTGGTTCTGACTCTATAGCAACCCTGTATAGGGTTGTGGAGGCTGTAAGTCTTGATGGGAGCAGAAAGCCTCATCTTCCTGATCAGTAGGTTTGAACTGCTGACTTTGTGCTTAGCAGTCTAGTATTTATCCTACAGTGCCACCAGGGCTCCTTGGAAAGTCTCCTAGTAGGTGTTTTAGTACTTTTTGCTGCTGCAGAATTTACCCTTGGAACCTTTTACATCAAGAAAGAATTGCTAGAGATTACAGGTTATAGCCCCTTGAGGCAGGCTAATGCTTGCAGTGGCCCCTGGCTAGCTAGCATTGCTCAGGTTTCACATGCTAATGGGAAAAGCTCTCTACAAGCTGAGAAAGGCTAGAAAGTGTGTGCAGCTGTTGACCCCCCTCCCCAACCACCTTTTCAAGGAATGCTTGTTATGTTCAAATTCAGGGAAGGACTGGAAAGAAATGGCTATTCTGCTCCCTCCAAGGAGAATTTGTGGAAAGTACGTAATAAAGTCAAATCCCACAGCTGCTTCTGTTGGTGGTGGTATGCCGTGGAGTCGGTCCAACCCATAGCGACCCTGTATAGGGTTTCTGAGGAGCAGCTGGTGAGCTTGAACCACCGACTTTGCAGTTCAAATGGCTTTGCAGTCTGGCGCTTTAACCCACAGTGCCACACCAGAAGGTGCAGATTTACACTGAGAAAAGCCCTGTTTCAAGTCTGCTTCAGATAGTGGTTCATCTCTGAATGAGCTAAGTCAGGAGAGACATTGTATTCTTTATGCATATAATGTGTACGTTTTAGATATATATTGCAAACCCTTGCTCGTTAGTTTCCTAAGAGTGTTAATTGTGTTATAAGCATGTGCATGCTACTTACATTAAATGCAAAAAAAAAAAAATATATATATATATGATAGCCTCAGTGTTGGCCCCTAAACATGAATAAACTCACTACGTCTGTGGACTTCTCTATGTTAGTGGTGGTTATGTGTGTGGAGTTGGTTCTGACTCACAGTGACCCTGTGTGTGTGTGTATTATGGGAGCAGATAGCCAAGTATCTGCTAACACATGTACATGTCAGTTGTTAATGGAGTTAGCTCCAACTCCAGGGGAAGTGATGTGCCTGGTTCAGTGCTATCTTCACTGTGGTTGCTATATTTGAGTCCATTGTCCCATTACATCGTGTCTTTTGAGTGCCTTCCAACTTAGGGGGCTGGTCTTCCAGCACTGTATAGCGGACAGTATCCTGCTGTGATCCATGTGGTTTTCACTAGCTAATTTTCTGAATTAGATCACCAGGTCTTTCTTCTTTGTCTTAGTCTGGGAGCTCCTCTAAAACCTGTCTACCATGGAAGACCCTTGTGGTATTTGAAATGCCAGTGCATCATAGCACCATGTAAGCCATCACAGTATGACAAACTGACAGACGGGAAGTGGATGCGTATATATACATACATGAAAATATACACATTGAAACAAATATACTAACTTAAAAAAATTATTTTGCACTTATCAATGTATTGTGAGCCTATCTTCATGTCAATTTATTTAAACCTACATAATCATGTTTAATGACTATCAGAATTTCCATTACGTAT